ATGTGTGACCTTGCTATCGTGTATCTAACGGCAACGTCCTCGTCATCAACCACACCACAGTGCGGCGACACGAAATGTGCTGTACATACAATCATGGCTACGGACTGATTTGAATGTGTGGTTTAATACACATAAAAGCAACTTGTAGCCTACATTTATTTCCTGTATCTGATGTAGACTAGGGCCTAGGTCTACACAGATGTACTGTACGTACCCAGCCAGCCAAGGCCTTATTCGACTTCGTCAGGCCAGCCTGCATTACAGTACATTGACAAGAAATTTGCTGCACACATACACTCATCGCTACAAACTAATTTGAATATTATGTGGTTTAATACACATAAAAGCAACTTTTAGCCCACTTTCCTGTTATCTGATCTATTACACACACGTACTACCCAGCTAGCCTGTAAGCCTAGTTCGTCTTCCTCTAGCTCAAGGCCAACCTGCATTACAACAATAGTGTACATTGTATATCTCTTAGAGTATGGCACGCCAGGACGGACATAACTATCAAACACACATCCCTACCAGTTGAGTTTACACACATCAATACTAGTTGAGTTTTATTACACACATCGCTATCGGTCGAGTTTACACACATCACTAGTAGTCGAGTTTACACCATAGAGATATAATAACAATACTAGAGCGCTAACCGCAATGTTCGAAATACGCAGAACTGTGTGTGTACCATCCAAGATGGCTGCCATAGATTTAGCGAATCCATAGAGGTATAATAAGAATACTAGAGCGCTAACCGCAATGTATTCGATGTTCGAAATACGCAGAACTGTGTGTGTGTACCATCCAAGATGGCTACCATAGATTTAGCCAATCAAATTTCGCTAAGCGTGATCGTTTGCAAATGCGCCTTCAATTTACTTAGAAAGTTCAGTACAGCGCTAGTTACCTGTATGTTTGAAACTCGAAAGTTGCGGTGTTTGGGTGTAATGTACACGATTTTAATTTCATTCCTTGGTACTTTATTTTTGAATAAGATGCTCCACTTGGCCTCGTTTTGGCTACAATAGTTTAATAATTTGTTATTACCATTACTCATTATCATTAATGAAATAATAGTCAGTCAGAGGGCTTATTAATATGTAATAATATGTATACTAAGCCTGAAGGTGGCGCTTTACTATGACGACCATCTTGGATGGTACCATAGAGATATAATAAGAATACTAGAGCGCTAACTGCAATGTATTCGATGTTCGAAATACGCAGAGCTGTGTGTGTGTACCATCCAAGATGGCTGCTATAGATTTAGCCAATCAAATTTCGCCTATGCGCCATCGTTTGCAATTGCGCCCTTGACGCAGCAAGTTCAGTACATCGTTACACGTATGTTTGAAACTCGAGCGTTGCGGTGTATGGGTGTAATGTACACGATTTTAATTTTCATTACTTGGTACTTTATTTTTGAATAGGATGCTCCACTTGGCCTCGTTTTGGCTATGATAGTTTAATAATTTGTTATTACCATTACTCATTATCATTAATGAAATAATAGTCAGTCAGAGGGCTTATTTATGGTAATAATATGTATACTAAGCCTGAAGGTGGCGCTTTACTACGACGGCCATCTTGGATGGTACACATACATAACTCTGCATTGCTCCGCCATCTTGTCAGCACTCTAGTTATTTAATAGCTCTATGGATGGTACACATCGCTACTAGTCGAGTTTGATTGGTGCATGCGCAGTATGAAATTAAAACGCCACCAACGTTGCCGAAAAGTGATCAAATATCATCATCAATCAACGCTGTCCTAGGGCAGAAAATTGGTGTAGTGCTTGCAAACCCCCCCCCCCCAAACCCTTGCCGCCACCAAAAGAGGGAATTTACCCCTCTTGATGAAAAACTACAATATTACTAACTACAAGCCTTGAAGGTTAAGTATTGGGGATACATATTCAAAAATAGGCAAACAGGGCAATCATGTGCAATTGGATGTATTAGGTGATTTTGGTCAGAAAGTGTGACTGGTGATACCATGAAATACCTCTGTATATTTAACACACAGACAAATTTAGGCCTCTTGTGATACATATTACTTTTTTCTTGTTTTTATTTGATAATCTTCAATCAGAGATGCCAATTTTGTCACTTAATTGGGAATGAGAAAAAAAAATCAACCAATCAAGGTAGCACAGTGAGGGGGGAGAGGGTGGCTAGTCTGGGCCCCCCAAATCAGAAAAAAAAAATCATTTATGGGTTCAATATATTGTGTAATTTGGGGCATAGCTACAAAATAAAAAATGCACAATAAAATATCAAGCGTTGACAAAAGCTTTAAGGTACCTGAAATTCACCGTGGAATGCTTCACGGCACATGTAAACTGGGCTGCCAATTATCATCTTTGTCACATGTGTTTTGTCTGTCTCTTATACACATCTAGATGTGTATAAGAGACAGATTGTAAATGTGTGCATTATAAAGTAGCATTGTAACACTATTGTAAGTGGAAATACTACTGTCTAACTTATAATCAAACAGGACTAAAGAGATAGGAAGCACACACAACATTACTTAGCATTTTTATTTCAAAAACATGATTTACTTTAAAGTTTATCATTATCATGCACCAACACACATGTGTATTATAATATATGTACATGTAGTATTGTAAATGTGTGCATTATAAATGTGTTTTAAAATGTTTGTTTTATTTTGTCATTCACATCCTACTTCTGCATTAGTGATTACTGTAATAAGAATTAATAAATTTACATCAGCAATGATAGTGTATAAGCTTAATGAATGATACTATTTGCGATATACACAGAAAATTAGGACCAAGTTAGCTTTTAGGCCCGACATGGAGCAAAGTTGACTTGGGTCCAATGTGAGTGGGGCCGAGTTGACTTGGGACCGAGTTGACTCAAATTCAATATAAAAATACTTGTAATGTGTTATCCACTAGACATACTCAAGCAATTCAGCTCTTTTTTTTCTCCTGGGTATGCTTTAGTTACTCCCTTACACTTCTGAAATTCTCATTTATATTTATTTATTGATTTATTTTGAGCTACACTGCATTTTTGTAATAAGTGGTGGCTTTTACTACTGTATTGTAAAAGTAAAATAAATTTGTCTCTAAAAAATAGAACCTCTAACTGTAAAATGAGATTGTCTTAAAACATCTCTTTTATCTACTGTCATTCCAAAACATACATTCACTAATTAATTAAGTAATTAAGATTAAAATACATCATATAAAAAAAATGACTTTTCGGCAACGTTGGTGGCGTTTTACAAAATTTCATACTGCGCATGCACCAATCAAACTCAACTAGTAGCGCTGTGTGTAAACTCGACTAGTAGCGATGTGTGTACAAACTCGACTGATAGCGATATATGTGCAAACTCGACTGTTAGCGATATTTGTAATCTCGACTAGTAGCGATGTGTGTAAATGACCTCGACTACTAGCGATGTGTGTAAACTCGACCGATAGGGATGCGTGTAAGAAAACTTAACTAGTATTGATGTGTGTAAATTCAACTGGTAGGGATGTGTGTTTGATATAGTTATGTCCGTCCTGGTGTCTTTGCAGTTAGCCCTGTTTTCAGTCTAGCACTTAAGCCTAGTAGTCAGTAACAGCCAACATTATCTTGAACTCAAATGATAACCTGACTTTTATAAAAAGTATGTAGTCTGAAGTTTGAAACTGTACCATTATGTCTATTCTGATTGTGACTGGACAACTTTACAACTTGCCAGCAAGTGGTATTAAAAAATACACTGGTGCAGGGGTAAAGGTAAGAGAATAACCTGTAACTCGCAGTGTCATTGTGCTGAATTGCGTATAGGCGTGGTCAATAGTTAGTCAATTAAATATTATCCTTTGACGCGGATAGATCTGTCTCTTTCATCAACTTATTTACATAATGATACCACAAGTTTACGAACTCTGATGTTACTTGATGCAATCTTGCTTGTGAAATAAAAATGCTAAGTAATGTTGTGTGTGCTTCCTATCTTTTTTCCCACAATAGTGTTACAATGCTACTTGCACAAAAGTCAAATACAAAAAGAGGAGAAAAGAAAAAAACCTCTTGATTGATTTTAAAAGTACCGTATATGCAAACGACTATAGAATTAGGGTGACTGTTTTAAGTTTATCCATGAAGAAGCATGGTTTATCATTTGTTTTTCATGGTTCAAATACGTCGCAAGTTAATCAGTAGATAATAAATCATTATTTTTATGAATGTTAGTTTGCACGAAATATGTAAGAGGCTATGATTTATGATTACCATAACAAAATGACATAATGGTGAAAGAATTTTAGATGGACAGAGCATATGGTTAAAGAAGAACAGGCAACAGATGGACCATGGCAGAAAGTAAAGAACACAGGAAAGACAGAGACAGGGGAACACACAACAGATGGACCAGGGTAGAAAGTAAAAAAACAGGAAGACTGGGACAGGGGAACTGACAACGGATGGACCAGGGCAGAAAGTAAAAGAAAACAGGGAACACAGAGGCAGGGGAACAGACAACAGATGGAACAGGGCAGAAAGTAAAAGAAAACAGGGAACACAGAGACAGGGGAACAGACAACAGATGGACCAGGGCAGAAAGTTAAAGAAAACAGGAAAGACAGAGACAGGGGAACAAGGCAGAAAGTAAAAGAAAACAGAGAAGACAGAGACAGGGGAACAGACAACAAGTGGACAGACAACAGGTGGAACAGGGCAGAAAGTAAAAGAAAACTGTGAAGACAGAAACAGGGGAACAGACAACCTCAGGACATATAAAGTTTAGAGAAACATCAGATAGAAAGAGGTAAACAATTGTAGAGGAGGAATATGTTGACCCTGAAATGAAAATGGTAATTTTATTTTAACAATAATTATGTATCATTTTCAATTGATCTCACTATAATTATTTAGTGTGGGGTGGGGGAATTATTATTTCTCTTATTATTGATAATATATTTCATTTGTAATTGATATGAAAAATAAAAAAGCATGCTTTACCACTCCATAGCTGTAGACATCAACAGTGGGTGACACATCACCGTGGAATGCTTCACGGCACATGTAAACTGGGCTGCCAATTATCATCTTTGTCACATGTGTTTTGTTGTCTTTACCAATGTTTCGTACTAGACCAAAGTCAGCAACCTTTCCAACAAAGTTCTCGTCCAAAAGTACATTTGCACTGATAAATAAATATTCATAATAATATCTAAATATAGGCACAACAATTTTTTGTTTTTAAGCCGATGCCGTCAGATGTACTGTATTTTTACGAATATTAGAGATCAGCTAACCTTTTATGCTTACTGCAGAGCTGGCGTAACATTTTTAAAAGTGAAGGGGGGGATGGGGCCACGAGTATGATGAATGGAAATATGAATCAGGTGGTCTGGGTTCAAATTTAGGTCAAAATGTTGCCCAAAAAACCCCAGGAACCAACATTTTCCCTGGGGAGGGTCGTCCCTGGGGTGAAAAGGGGGTGCAGAGCCCTCCCCCGGGAAAATTTTACTTCGTAGATGGCGGGAAATGAGTTTCCTGGCTCGACTTCTAATTTTCTTAGTGCAAAAAAAAAAATCAGCTCACGGGTCCTGCAAAGGTAGCTCTAGAATTATTTTTATTTTTTTCTCATTTCTTTTTTTTTTTTTTTGCGCAAGTGAGGGACTCAGGACCGCCCTTCACCAATGTGAATTGCGAGAAAATGTAACTCGGTTGGGAACTGGATAAACACTCTCTTTCGCTTCCTCTCCTCCTTCTTTCTTCTTTCTTTTCTTTCGCATTTCTTTCCGATCATACAAAAATCTGTATAGACATATTTTCTGCCAAAAAGTAGTGGGCCTGGGGCCCCTGTTTGCTCCAGCCATGAACTGCACTAGAAAAAGTCAAATGGGAAGACCTACCTCTTTATATCCCTATGAACAATTTTTTCACTGTGGAGAAAACTTATACCAAGTGCAATATCTGTAGCAATGGAAAGTCTCCGCCTCCATGATAAACGTCTAGTTGACGACTTTCTCAAACAGTCTTCCAAGGACCCATTTGGCATGAATCGGTAAACAAGGCAGAAAGATGGTCCATCAAATGAATAGTATATAGGCGGAAGGATGTTCTTATGGCTGAGCCTAAGAAAGGAACAAGTTCAATATCAATTTAAATTTAAACAAATTTCACAAATTTAAAAACCGAACAGCAATTTTCGTGTGAAAGTTCTACTGTGTAAAATTTGAAAACAACCTGTACATTATGTATCATGTGCCGCGATGAATTATAGGCTAGTGTTCTACACCTAGCACTACAACGAATGTCTGCAGAAAGTGAGGGCAGACCTCACTTTTATTGACAAGTGGTCATTGAAAATCAGGTTGATTAGAACCCAAAGAAAGTTACTTTAAATTTAATATTATGTATGAACAACATACGGAATTCCTTGAAATGAGACTCTAATAAACTAAAAAAAACAGACCAATTATCAAGACTCAGGAACGAATAGATGTAGGCAGGAGGCCAATGAAGCATAGGCTTAGACCATCTTAGACCTAGATCGTAGCCTATAGCCTCAGATTCATTTTTAACAGATTTATCTGTCTGCGCACACATATCACTATAGCAACCAATGACTGCTGCAACAGTGGATTATCAAAGGTAACACTAAAAGAGAGCGATTGACTTATAAAGCAATTTAGTGGAGTGATCTATACACTAATAATTTAATACTCAGTCAGCCAAAGGCAGACTGCTGGGTCCTCTTTATTTTCCTCTGGCTTTTATTACATTCACATTGTTGATATTATTGTCCTCCTGGTTCTTAAGGGATATGTTGAGGGATACGCTAAGGAAACTACTTAGGGATTGCTGTACTAAAACTTTATTTAAGTGATAACACATTTTATAAAGAAACTGATGGTGTCTCAATGTGTTCACCCCTTGGACCAGTTTTAGCCAATATTTTAATGAATGAACTAGAAGAGTCTATAGTTCCTAAATTTATAGAATCAGGTATTATTAAGTGTTTTACTCGTTTTGTTGACGACACACTAATACTAGCTAAACATAATGATTTTTATAAAATCCTACGTCATTTTAACGCCTTTCATAGCCAGATACATTTTACCTTTGAATCATTTGAAAACAGTAAGTACATTTTCTGGATTTACAATTGGCAATGCAGCATCGGAAGCAAGAGTACATATCATAAAAATGCACATACAGGTCAATATATCCATTATGATAGCTTTGCTCCATGGAACCATAATATTTCTTGAATTCGTAGTTTAATTTTTCAAGAGCCCACAAACTGCGTACTCCCATTAAACTTCAAACAGAACTTTGTAACATTAAAAAATTTATGTTGTGGAATAGGTACCCTTTAAAAGTTGTTGAGCATGTACTCAATAAATGAACCTAAATAGATAGGCCTACTGATCATAGCTTGGTTAAGATCTAGGTAAGATTGCCTTATCTAGGAAAGGCAGGTGAATCTATTTTACGTAGATTCTTAAACAAAATAAAGAAACACTTAGTTATAGAGGTAAAATTGATAACTTTATGGCAGTACAAAAATGTCTCTCACTTTATATCTACTAAAGCTCAAACCCCTAAGGAGGATAGGAGCTCTATTGTTTAACATTTTAAATGTCCAGGTTGTAATAGTGATTATATTGGTAAGACAGATAGATGCTTAATAACTATAATACTTCAAGAAAATTCTTCACGATCTGATAGTGTTATAAATGATCATATACAAAATTGTGAGGCATTCCAATATGTTTTAGGTTTACAAGGTATACTTGAAAACGATAATGTAGCCATAGGTTTAATATTTTCTAATACTAACATTATAGACAGTTCACAAAATTGGTCTATACTTTCGTTTAAAGAAGCGTTTGCTATACGTAGCCTACACCCATTGCTTAACACTGGAGCTTTCCTTAATTTTGTAGGTAACTTGAACAGCAGGATAAGGATGCTTTGATCTTTAGTTTATTTATAGCTTTTTCACCTACTAGAGGTAAGGTTTTGATTGGTCAAACACTTTGGTATTTGTGCATATAAGCTTACAAATAACATGGATAATTTTTCATTCCTGATGATGACATAAGTAATGTCTAAATATTGAATCGTGACACAATAGCGTGCATTTCGATACTTGGCGTATGTATTATACTATCTTAGACTTAAAAAACTTTCTTCAAGATCTGATAGTGTTATAAATGATCATATAAAAAACTGTGAGGCATTACAGTATGTTTTTAGGTTTACCAGGTATACTTGAAAATGATAGTGTAGCCTGTAATGTAAGTAATAGATTAGGTTTAATATTTTCTAATATTAACATAATATTGACAGTTCACAAAACTGGTCTATTCTATTGTTTAAAGAAGCATTTGCTATATGTAGGCTATACCCATTGCTTAACAATACTGTAGGCTTAAAGACACAGAAGCTCTCTTTGTTTTTGTAGGTAGCTTTGATCAGTTACTAGGGTAATGCTTTGATCTTGAGTTTATTCATAGCTATGCCACCTACTATAGTTTTGATTGGTTATACACTTTTGGTACTTGTGCATATAAGCTTGCAAATATGAATATTTTTTCATTCCTGATGATGACATAATTAATGTCGAAATATTCAATCCCGTCACGATGATGGCATGCATTTCGATACTTGGGAGTATGTATTGTACTATCTTATCCGAGATTAATCAATGGACCTTTCGGTTCATGGTTCTTCTCATTCAGATTTTTTCAATGATTTCCAGCTGATGTTGACAGAAGTTTTGCTTTCTTCTTCTGGCTAAATTATCTGTGGTGATTTCAATCTCCAAGTAGATGATTTTAATAATCAAGGTACCATTCATTTTCTTGACATACTTGATTCTTTTAGTCTGTGTCAGCACGTTTCTGATCCCACATATGCGACTGGTCATTGCCTTGATCTTATTATCAACCATCCTGACTTTAAAGGTATCAGTGAGCTGAGACTGCATCCTGGTATCTCATACAATTATGCAATTTTCTGCAAGAGAGTTCCCATTAACAGAGGAAGAAATGCCAAGACCTCCACATCAACATTGGGGAATGTCAGATCGATCAAGTATGATAACTCATGTTAAGAATCGGGGTATTACGCTCGATTCTTCAATTAATTTGAGTAGGCATATTTCCAACATATACCTTGTGCAATATAAAAGAGAAATATGAAGTACTTTTACTCATTACTTTTACAACACAGAAGGTGAATGTTCAAAGTATCTTCATGAACTGCTCGTGTGGTATGTGCCATCTCGTACTCGCTCCGCTCTGGTTCTGACAAACTTCTGCTTGTTGAGCCTAGGTCTATGAGGTGATAGATCACTATGGTTGCTGCACCACACATTTGGAATAAACTTCCAATTAATATTGGTTCATGCCAGTCCACTACTTTGTTTAAAAGAGTTCTTAAGACAGTGCATGGACAAATTTAGAGCTCCATCTTCATTGAAAAATGGTTGGATGTGTTTAATGTTCTGAAGTATGGGGTGCCATACGCAGCAAAATTCCATATTAAAATCAAAATGTAATTGCAAAATGCAATGTCTAATTTATCAAAACGTACACGTAAATTTCTCAAAATGTAGATCTAATTTCCAAAATTGAAACGTAGTTTAAATTTTCCAAAATGTAGTTCTAATTTCTTTAAAAAGTAATTCAAATTTAAAACGTAGGTCTGACTCGATCAAACACCCTCTCCAAATTCTGTTCTAAAACGTAAATCAAAAACCAGCCAAGCATGACTGGTTTGAATTACATTTTAAAACTACTAGACATACAAAATGTAAAGCAAAACTAGCCAGCCAAGCATGACATAGGTCTGTTCCATTAATGAAGGGGGAATTAATTTTCGCTGCAGTCCAATGCCATGAACAACGCTTCCCAGTGCGTCTCTAATGGTCAGGGTACTGCGATCATGAGCCCTATGCTAGGCACATAGGCTAGGCCTAACCCAGGCCTATGTTGGCTGGGATTTGCAACAAGGTCTTGGACTAAGCCTATAAAATAGTAAAATTCTGTATAAATATTGAAATGCACGCCATGTTGGGATTCAATATTTCGACATTAATTATGTCATCATCAGGATGATGACATAATTAATGTTGAATCCCTAAATGATGGCATGCATTTCAACACTTGGAGTATGTATTATACTATTTTATCTGTATAAGTAGTCATAGGAATACAGGTTTACATTGTACCAAGGTCGAAATTAATGATCGCATTTCTTTTCATAGAAAATTTAAAAAAAAACTGAAGGGTTTTAAAATATTCCATAAACTGTACGCTTCACAAAAAAAAAAATTAAAGTTAACTTAAAACATATACAACGCGATAGTTAGAGAGATTAATTGATCCAACAAAGGAACAGCAGTACCAAATTCCTAAAATTCCAAAAAGGAGGAGAATTGGGATGCTATTTGAACTTTGCTGGAGATTGAAAAATTCAAAAAAACTCCAGAGGAAAAAATATGTTGTAGAATTGATTTTTAAGACAGAAAAAACTGGAGAAGGGTGAATGAGATACAGATTTTAGAATATTTATAAATACTGGGGGAAAAAAAGAGTCAGAAGGGTGGTTACGCCCCTTCCCTCCCCCAGTTTTAATATTCAAATTAAATCTGTACCTAGCCTAGGGCCAGGCCTCCTACTATAGTTTAGGCTATAGAGGCCTAGTCCAAGACCTTGTTGCAAATCCCAGCCCACACGGCACCCCATACTGAAGATGATAGAAGACACTTGTTTGTGTTGCCACTATGACTTTCCCTAAATGTAACAGAGTGGATTGTCATTACAAACTTTATAAGATGGTTTGATGTAAAAGTCACTAATTCTAATGGAAGGAATGGATGGAAAATCAGGATGTTTTTAGGAAGAACTTTGGTCTTAGAGTGTTGAAACAAAACATGTTAGATGAGAGCTAAGACTTTACATAAACCTAAGCCAAGGGTAACTAATAAAAGGGACCAGCCCCCTCACATATACTAATTATATTTTTTTAATATTTCAATATTATGAAGTAAAATATTTATTAGTATGTGATATCTTGATCAGGTAATATTAGCACAAACCTTGATAAATGCTTCAGTTCATTCTTGAATTGGTTTTTGTGTGTTTCCTCTTTCTGAAATATCAACAAATACATTCAACTTGAGAATCAATTACATGAATGATACCGAGGCCCATACACAGGAGTGGACCAGAATGGCTCGGGGGGGGGGGGGGGAGGACTAAATTTGGACTAAACTCTTGGACTAAATTTGAATATATATTTTTGTTTTCTTTTCTTAAATAATTTTAAGAAATTTAGGAGGGTAGGGAAGGGGAACCACCACTGGGAATAGTGCAGTACAGTCTAGAAGCACAGATACATATAGGGAAAATGTCTGTTTTTTTTACATTTCTTTGTTTACATTATATTTCTTGCTCTGACATTTACCATCATGCAAAGGTCTAAATCTGCACCTGCTGTATCAAGATGATTCCCAAGAGAGAATACAGATTATTCTAGTGAAACCTAGAAAGAAAATAAGTTTGTACAAGGTGAATCATTGACACGCAAGCGCCCGGGACAACATTCAAATTCCTCAGAAAGCTCATATAAATATACAGTAAAATTTACTTGCACAACGAATTAGAGGCAGTCGTAGTTGGTCAAGGAGGTTTGGTGGATGGATTTCTGGAATGTGCAAGAGTGAGTTTTGAATTTTCTACCCTGGAAAATGTGGACCTTTGGTAATTTGGTTCCACCCGTTGCACCCCGGCCTGATACCGCCTTTCTTGGCAAAATTTATGTATCTATATTTGTTTATGTTTTATAGCACTATGCAAAAAACCCAATTATTTACACGAAGCTTTAAATGCAACATAGGCTTCCTATACCTTCCTTATATGCGAGTGGTGAGTGCAACAGTCAGTTGTATGGCAGAAGGTTCTGGTGGTTAGATCTGCACCAATTGTATGGCTCTCTGTAGTATAGCAGTATGCCACCCACTTTCTAGTAGCAAGAAGTTACAGGTTGGAATGCTGCCACAGATACTGTACACTGAGTTATGCTTGATACAAATAAATATGTGTCTATAATACAGTATCAGGGCCAGTCCTTCAACAAAAATGATAGCTCATCATTTGTGTAAAAAGTTTGATAGTATTCAAACCCGCAATGTCTCAATGTCAAAGCGGGCTTTGTGCAGCTAGACCACAAAGACCTATTGGTATTGTAACAGATTCTATCCAGCCAGAGACACCCTCACAAATAATATTCAAATCAATACATCTGTGTACTGTGTGTGATGAAATCCACCATAACAAATTTATATTTCTTGGGAATGTTCTTGGACTGCATTTCAATGTTTATGGCGAAGTTAAAGATGTATCGATATCAACTGATAGTGGCTGAGCTATCTTTCAAGTTGCACCTGGCAATTAGCACATGGGTGGCCTATTAGACATTGAATAACCCTATTTATCATAGTAATTTTGCTAGAAAATAAAATGTAAATCCTAGGTTTCTGGGGCTACAATTACATAGCAAAAAAAAATGGTAATGGGGCATATTTAAAAAGGTTACCGTACAACTCTACAACTCTTGATCTAATGAAGCATCCTGTTTGTGTTTAAAACGGCCTGCATTTTCCTGGGCCAGACCGCCTATTGTGTTGATCGTTTTGTTTATCTTTTATTCATCATTTGATTTTGTTTGGCATGGACTTATTAATGGTTTACTCCGATGTTATATTATTTCAGTAGGTATTATGCTGAAGAAGAGAGCAGGCACTCCTGAAAAATACATCCTGAAAAAACATCAACTGCCTATTATTTTTCTTGACTTTGTTTTACGACATGTACTCCAGTGGCAGACCATAGAGTAAATTGCAGGGTATGCTAGGCGGTGATGTGTATAAGGGACCCGATTCCCCCGACGTGGGGACCCGATTCCCCCGACGTGGGGAAGATTTCCCAGATGAGAGGAAAGTGGGCGTGGTTGAGTGTTGCCTAAAAGGTTTCGAAAGTAGTAATTTTGACAATTTACAGGTTTCAGAGGCTTATTTAATCAATTTTAGAGTTTACTAATATGTATAGAATACATATAATTTTTTTTCCTCACGACGAACTGTACTTTTTCTCGCTGACGGGGTGGGGGGCCTACTGTACCCCACCCCTCCAATGGTGCCACCCTTGCTTGTATACCAGTCATATGTATGCAAATTTATTCTAACTTTAATCATTGAGTTTTAGTATGTCTTGCCATGGACCTATTAATAATTATTAATAGGTCCATGTGGTCTGGCAATACAAATTAACCAACCGGCAGTGTGAAGGTCCTGATTAGACTACTGTAGAGAGATGCAGTCAGAAGAAGACCATGCGCACATACTCTTGAAAGGAGTGCTTCCATTCAATTCTCATCGTCGCTACAACGCCGTGATGTGACGTTGGTTCCACGTTTTACACTGACGTTGAATCAACGTTGAAATTTGGTCAGTCGACTCAACAACGGGATTCAACGTCTTTACAACGTCGATTCTGTTCGTCAATACAACCTCGCTATGTGGTGTTGTTTCAACGTTGAATACTGACATTGAATCGAAGTTGAAACTATGTCAGTCACTAAACAACCTAAATTCAACTCCTAATATTTACAACCTCTAACCAACGGTTAGAGGTTGTAACCAACCTTCACTAACGTTTACCGAGGTCGGGCCAACAACGTACTGTGACGTTGAGACAATGTCTACAATCACATCTAATATTTACAACCTCTAGCCAACGTTAGCTTCGTCAATACAATGTCGCAATGTGGCGTTGTTTCAACGTTGAATACTGACGTTGAATCGACGTTGAAACTATGTCAGTCACTAAACAACTTAAATTCAACTTCTATTCAACGTCGATTCTCGTCGTTGATACAATGTCGTGATGTGACCTTAGTTCCACGTTTTATAATGATGTTGAATTAACTTTGAAATTAGGTCAGTCAATTCAACAACTGGAATTCAACGTCGATTCTCGATGAAGATACAACTTCACAATGTGAAGTTGATTAACATTCAACACTGACGTTGAAACTATGTCAGTCAATGTATAACTTAAATTCAACTCCTATTCAACGTCGATTCTCGTCGTTGACACAACGTCGTTATATGACGTTGGTTCAACGATGCACACTGATGTTGATTCGACGTTGAGATTTGGTCAGATGATTGAACAACCTAATTTCAACGTCTATTCAACTTCGATTCTCTTCGTCGATACAACGTCGGAATGTGGCGTTGTTTCAACGTTGAATACTGACGTTGAATCGACAATGAAACTATGTCAGTCACTAAACAACCTAAATTCATCTTCTATGAGTCAACGTCGATTCTCGTTGTTGATACGCCGTGATGTGACGTTGGTTCCACATTTTATGACGTTGAATTAACGTTGAAATTAGGTCAGTCAATGCAACAATTGGAATTCACCGTTGATTCTCGATGAAGATACAACGTCGCAATGTGAAGTTGATTCTCGTCATTGATACAACGTCGATATATGACGTTGGTTCAACGTTACCCTGCGGTTGATTCGACGTTGAGATTAGGTCAGATGATTGAACAACCTAATGTCAACGTCGATTCTTTTCGTCGATACAGCGTAGCAATGTGGCGTTGATTCAATGATCAACGCTGACATTGAATCGACCTTAAAACTATGTCAATCAATAAACAACCTAAATTTTTGTTGATAATACAGTCACATTAGATAGTCACGCTTAATGCTCTGCAGTATCTACTCTGGAAAAACTGCAATTTTTCTTTACGTCTAACTCGGAATTTTGTGTAATCTAGTGTGAATACCTTCTATCTATGCTTAGAAGCATTTCTTGGATATCTAAACGATTTTTCAGCAATCACTTTACATGATGAAAACAGTGTACATTTAGGCTTGTATTATGGTGAATGTTTTAATGCTGGTAACTTTCGAACAATATCCAAAAGGCCGATAATGATACCTGGCTAGGTCGGTGGAAAATGTAACAGAGTGTTACAATTGCCCATCGAGAATTTTATGTGTTAAAAAAAAAATATTTTAATTAATTTCAGAATGGTTCGCCACAGGCAGCGGTCTACAGACCGTAGAAAGGAATTGTTCAAATAGAGCATTATTGGGCACATGAGGAGTACACATCATTTGAATCTTTCTTTTGTCAATCTGAATAGACATCATTTATATGCATCAGCCGAATGTAGTACATTTGTTTATCAGTGTGTGATTAATCTCCTCAATAAACAATTTTAATTACTTGTGCAAATATAAAGATGTGGGTAACCCACATCTTTATATACGACTTTTCATGGTTCTCGACCTGCTATGTTGGCTATTATTATTACTATTAGTAGTAGTATTATTAAACGAACATTTAAAGAAACTTACAAAAGGATAAAAACGAAATTGAACCACAGTATCGCATTTCTATCTTAAAAGACCTGGCCTGAGATTTATGGATTTAAGATTTTTTTAAATCACGCTTAGGCCTATGTGTTATACACATCTAGATGTGTATAAGAGACAGCTTCCGTTTCCTTGGCATGATTACTATAGCAAGTACTGAATCGAAATGAGGAGAACGGGCTAGATATGGGTCCTGGGGGGGGGGGGGGGGGGGGGGGGGAACCACGGCTCCCCCCTGGATACGTCCCTGCCTCGATGAATTATCTATCATGAGGGTTAACCTTGATATGGGTTCCCTGACGAAAACTTCCCTTTTTCCCTGATAGATGAAAATTACCCTTCTATGTAGCCCGGAAATGATACTCCAACTGTGCCGGGTCCAGGTCGAAATAAAGGGGTTCCAGGGAGGGTCTTGCGTAAATAGAATGTCCACCCGCCTCAGCCCCACAACTATTGGGGCTGAGAAAAAAATATGATTATGGCGCACCTAGATGGCCCTAAATGGCACTCTCAGATTAAAACTTGAATACAATTTTGTCTGTTTTCTCCAATTTTTTAAAAATAATTTTGAAAAACAAATAGGAGAATGGGGTCCCGGCTGACGGGGACCCCTTCAATCTGCCACTTTTCAATATAACACTTGCCATAGCCGATCAGTGACAAATGATTAATTCCTAATGTCAAGCGAAATATTTTTTTATTCGAAAGAATTTGTTTTTACTCGATAAAGTGGTTATATTATGCTAGTTTGAAGGTTTACTGTAAGCCAGTCAGTTACACTTACTATACATCTTCGTGGTTAGCATAAAGAGAACTAGAACGTCGCTCCATTAAGAGTGCCTACCCCCCTCCCCCCATATGCCTAAATACAGAATTCACGAAAGCAGGCGACTTTTTCTTTATGCTCGATGGTGGGTTTCAAGGAAACTTTACAGACACACATATACAGATGTCAATCAACATTTGGTTAAAATATAAAAAATCTATATTTTTTATAATAATAATAGGTCAATTTATAAGGCGTAAATAAACAAGGTGTAAGCACAAAATAATAATAATAATAATAACAATAACAATAATAATAATAATAGGCCTAATAATAATAATAATAATGACATTGCAGCGTTCGTAAAATGTTTGTCACTGGTGCTGGAAATAGTAAAAAAAACTGGGGGGGCCAGGCCGCCCTGTAGAAAAAGTGGGTGGGCCAATGGCCCCCTGAGAGACAGCCCCCCCGCTTCTGCTAGGACAACGTCTATAACTACATCCTAATATCAACCTCTAAGCAACGTCGGACTAACGGTTGTAACCAACCTCCATTCCTAACGTATACCGATGTCAGGCCAACAGCGTTCTGTTAAGTTGAGGCAATGTCTGTAATCACATTTAATATTTACCTCTGGCCAACCTCGACCCAACAACGGTGGTAACCAACGTCTATTTCAAACGTTTACCGACGTCGGGCCAACGAAGTACCATGACATTGCAACAACGTCTTTAATTACATCTAATATTTACAACCTCTAACCAACGTTGGCCCAA